GGGTCTCAGAAAGTCTATTGGGGAAGACATAAGTAAGAGACCATCACAGGATAGTATGCGGGAGGAGGTCAGCACCAAATGCTTGGGAAGACTGGGCGGGGTGGCATGATCCAGATGCTTGGCTGACCGGGAAGGCTACCCATGGGAATTGTCCCACCTGAGCCTGGAAGGCTGCATGGACATTAGCTAAGGCAGTGGTCAGCAAACTCATTAGTAAACAGAGCCAAATATCAACAGTACAACGATTGAAATTTCCTTTGAGAGCCAAATTTTTTAAACTTAAACTATATAGGTAGGTACATTGTTATTAACTTAATTAGGGTACTCCTAAGGCTTAGGAAGAGCCACACTCAAGGCTCGCGAGCCACAGTTTGCTGACCACGGATAAGGAAAGAGCTGTGGAAACCAGAACATCTGCTGACCGAGAAAGAGCCAGAGGCAAAGGAGTCTTGAAGAGAACAGAAGTAATCAGAATTGCACCATGAGTTTTGGCAAACTAAACAGGAAACTGTCTAGGCATTGAATTTTAAAAATTGCAGAGCAGTGCCCTGGGGGGCCGGGGGGGGGGGGGGGGGAGTGGGCGTGCAGTTGGTTGGAATGCCGTCCCATACACCAAAAGGTTGTGGGTTAGATTCCAGGCCAGGGCTCATACTGAGCTTGCAGGTTTGATCCTCAGTGGTGCCAGAGAGTTTGGGAGGCAATCATTTGTTTCTCACATAGATGTTTCTTCCTCTGTCTCTAAGATTAGTGGAAACAGCCCTAACGGGTTTGGCTCAGTGGATAGAGCATTGGCCTGTGGACTGAAAGGTCCCAGGTTCAATTCTGGTCAGGGGCATGTACCTTAGTTGCAGGCACATCCCCAGTGGGGGGTGTGCAGGAGGCAGCTGATCGATGTTTCTAGCTCTCTATCCCTCTCCCTTCCTCTCTGTAAAAAAAATCAATAAAATACACATTTTAAAAAAACTGTATTTAAAAAAAATAAATAATAAAATAAAATTTGTAGAAGCATATACTTGGGTGAGAATTTTTTTTTCTTTTTAAAAATTCTTTATGGTTTAATGTATTACATAAGTCTCCGTTTTTCCCCATTGACCTCTCCCTGGCCAGCCCCACCCCCCATCACATACCCTCAATGGACACTACTCTCTGTGTCCATTGGTTATGCTCAGATGCATGCATACAAGTTGTGGACGGAAGGGGCCACATGCTGACCTGACAAGCTCAGGGAAGCCCTGCATGGTGGTCCTGCAAACTCAGACCTAAAGTAACCACAAAGGATGGTCTGAAATTAAACTTTAACTAGAAGCAGTTATGGTGGGTAGTTACCTCCTAGGCCAGAATCTTCACAGACAATGTCAACTTTCACCTTAACTGAGCCTATTTGTCTTTTTGCATCTATGATAACATACTCTTGAAATGTATGGGTAACTTGTAACTTCCCCTTTTCTGGACCCCTTGGGGCACAACCTAATGTACCTGGGCTCCAGGACAAATACCACAAATTCCTTCATTGTTATGTTAATTGCTCCTGCACCCACCTAAGCATGTGTGTATCATTTTACTTTTTATCCAATCCCAGGGGTTTCCCTGCTTTGCTTTCTCCCGCCTCTCTAGTCTATCACAAATGGATTTTATGTAACCCACCTACATCCCTTTCCTTTGATTGCAATGTATAAATACAGATGTAACCCGCCGTTCTCTGGAGCATTATCTCAATTCGTTGAGGTTCTGCTTCCTGGCATATGTCGACAGTTTGGCTCCAATACACTCACAAAAATTCTTTACAGGTTTCAATGTGTGTGTTTGGTTTTTTTTACCTTAACAAAGTCCTTTGGTTGATCTCTTACCCTCTCACCCCCAGCCTTCCCTCATAGGTTGGACAGTATATTCGATGCTTCTATGACTCTGGTTCTAGGATTTATTTGTTTGTTTATTTTTGGTTAATCCTCAGCCGAAGATATTTTTCCATTGATTTTTAGGGAGAGTAGAAGAGGGAGAGAGAGAAAGAAACATCCATGTGAGAGAAACACATTGATTGGTTGCCTCCCGCAGGAGCCACAGCAAGGCCTTGCCAGGGAGTATTCTGCAATCAAGGTACATGCCCTTGACCAGAGTCAACACCAGGGTCCTTTGGTCCACAGGCCAACACTCTATCCACGGAGTCAAACTGGCTACGACTTGGGTGAAGATTTAATGAAATAATTTTAAAAATTGTGGAGCAGCACAGAATGCCTGAGATTGGAAATCAAGGAACCCACCCCAGATCTGGATCATGCCCCAGATTACTGAATTATCTATATAATCCTATGGCCCTACCACCACACTCCACCCTGTCCAAAGTAAAAAGCCCTTATCTTTGTCTCCTAATCCTATTCTTGGGCTTCCCTTTTGCCAAATACTAGTAAGGACTCATTTCCCTCTCATTCTAGGATACCTAGTTAACCTAAATTTCTTGCATTATCCATGCTATTCATTTACTAATTTATTATTACCTCTCTTTAGTATCCCCTGCACTATAGTCTATTGTATGCTGCTTAGGTCTGCATGCTTTTATCCCTAATCTCGACAATGAAAATGTGATCTCCTTTTGGACTGTGTCTTAAGTTCTTTTGTCTTGGTCAAGTGCCTAATATATAACAGCTTTCCCTAAGAATCTGTTTTAAAATATATTTTTATTGATTTCAGAGAGGAAGGGAGAGGGAGAAAGAGATAGAAACATCAATGATGAGAGAGAATCCTCCTGCACAACCCCACACTGGGGATCCTGACCTCCTGGTTCATAGGCTGACATTCAACCACTGAGCCACACTGGCTGGGCTTCCCTAAGAATCTGAAATTGAGAGATTGTTGTATAATCCAGAGATTGGGAACTACTGTCCGGTCAAAATAATACTGTTAAACATGATTCACTAGATTTTTAAGTAGCAGCTGAACTTTTGTCAACTACTTCAGTGACATTGTAATGGTTGTTTTCATTGAGAATCTGACATCTACACTAAAGTCTCCTCAAAGGTCTGTCCGGGTGCTCTGTTTCTATTAGTGCCCTAAAATATTTCTATCATAGCTGAAAGTTTGTTTTAAGACCTCTGAATAAAGCCTTCACCACCTCTCCAGAATGTTATGGAGCACAGAGACATAGTTGAAGAATTGCAACCATATGTAATTATTTCATCAATAATATCAATAATGTTAAATAAATAAATCAATACCTAAGTTTTGAGGGCTTAAAGAAAAGTATTTGCTTTAATTTCCATTATGTATTACCTTGTTTGAAGATAAATGAATTAAGACTTCCTCTACCTGTTTTAATGATTGTTGTTTTCACCAGTTTCTATACTGAAGTTATCTAGAGGCTTATGGTATATTGACAAAATTGGCTTTAGGTAGGGAGTATGTTTTTTTGCCTCTCACTTGTATAATGCTCTCTAAAGCTTTATAGGTTAGTAAGTTGTTCCTAGAAACATAATCCAGAAAGTGGTCATTATGGCTTGGTTCCTTTTTTCCACACCCAGGGTTCCTTGGATCCATCCCAAAGAGCTAAAGCAGTGGTTCTCAACCTGTGGGTCGTGACCCCTTTGGTGGTCGAACGACCCTTTCACAGGGGTCGCCTAAGACCATCCTGCATCTCAGATATTTACATTACGACTCATAACAGTAGCAACATTACAGTTATGAAGTAGCAAAGAAAATAATTTTATGGTTGCGTCACAACATGAGGAACTGTATTTAAAGGGCCAGAAGGTTGAGAACCACTGAGCTAAAGATTACCCTCCTCTAGACACCCAGCATCTTTCACATTATTCCTTACATGCTTACTTTATTTTTTTATAATTCCTTATTGTTGAAAATATTACATATGTCCCCTTTTTCTCCCCATTAACCCCTGCCAGCCCACCTTGCCTCTCCTCCTCATCCCCCATCTCTTCCCCCCACCGCCCCCCCTCACCACACCTTTGTGTGAGTCCATGGGTTATGTGTATACCCAATAAGTTCTTTGAGTAGCCTCTTCCTGTCACCTCACCCTGTGAAATTTGTCAGCCTGTTACATGTTTCAGTATCTCTGCATCTATTTGTTGCTTATTTTGTGCATTAGATTCCACATATAAGTGAGATAATGTGATACTTGTCTTTCTCTCACTGGCTTATTTCACTTAGCATAATACTCTCCAGGTCCCTCCATGCTGTCTCAAAGAGTAAAAGTTTCATCTTTTTTTTTTTTTTTTTTCCAGATCTGGAAATAGCCCAAGAGCCCATAAGTAGATGAGTGGATAAAAGATGTGGTACATTTACACAATGAAATATTATGCAGCTGTAAAAAAGAGGGGTGTCTTTGAGACAGCATAGAGGTGATGATCTTAAAAAATCTATATCCTTGCCAAACCGCTGTGGCTCATTGTCTGTGCATAGAGTCATAGACCCATGAACCAGGAGATCAGGTTTTGGTCCCCAGTAGGGGTTGTCAAGAGGCAGCCAATCAATGGTTCTCTCATCATTGCTGTTTCTCTCTCTGCTTCTCCCTTCCTCTCTCCGAAATCAATAAAAATATATTTAAGCCCGGCCAGTGTCACTCAGTGTTTAAGTATCGACCTATGAATGAGGAGGTCACGGTATGATTCCCGATTGTTTCTATCTTTCTCTCCCTCCCTTTCTGAAATCAATAAAAAATATATATTTTTTAAAAAGATGACTCCTTAAAGAGAGAGAGAGACTCCCACTAATGACACACTCCATTGGTAAGCCCAGTTGTTTCTCTTATTTTGTCTGTGTCATGGCTGAGTAGCAAAAATGACAGCAGAAAGAAAATCTAAAGATTGACTTAATAATCAAATACAGTAGGTCCTTGAATAATGTCATTTCATTCAATGTCATTTTGTTAAAATGTTGATGGGATGCCATAGGAACTTAACTCTTTTTTATATCAATAGCCTATGGGCAGGTTGGTTTCTTGGAATTTTTCTTTTTTTTTAAATTTTTCTTTTTTAAAATATATTTTTATTGATTTCAGTGATCATTTTCTGGAGTCCCAAGTAATGTGGGGCGAGAGTGAAAATCGCCTTCTTTAATTCATATGTAAAATCTGCTGGGGCCTCTAGGTTTCTAAACCTGTAGTAGATACTTTCAATACCTGTGAGTAAATCCACGTCTGTCTGCAAATACTTCTCTTTTATTTCACCTAACAGTTTGTTTAGTCTGAACCTATGGTATGAAATTTGCCTTCCATTTTCAATTAGTTTTTCTTCAACATCCTTCTCTTCTGTAAGTAGATTGTCGTTAATTTCATCTCACTGCATTTCCAAGGAACTCTTAAGTTCTTTACAGTCATCTTCCAATTTCCCCCTCCATTTTGTCATCCATCTCTTCATATGGGAAGTTTTTGCTTCTTGGATGTTATATGCTGCTTCATACTCTTCAGCATTCATAATCAGGGCCTCCATGTAAAATTTCAGCATCCTCCTGTGAATAGCTGCAGCTTCCTCAATGGGGATCAGGGGCTGATTCTGGGGGTCTGACAAGACCCAGCACTGGGGACACAACAGCTCCAGGTCCTTCTTACAGAACAGGGTCAGAACCTCATGGTGCTTCCCACACAGGGGTTTTTCTTCCTGCAATTTCCTCTGGCTCCCTGAGGTGGGAATCTGCTGAACAATCTCAGTCATGTGACATAATTGGCTGTTCCTCTCCAAGCTCCTGTCAGGGCAGTGGTGGAGGCAGACAGGACAGGGAAAGGTGCCCCGTAGACCTTCCCAGCGCTGGTGGATGCAGGAGGGACAGAAGTTGTGCCCACAGGCAATGGTCACTGGGTCTCTCAGGTAATCCAGGCAGATGGGACAGCTGGCCTGTGCCTGCAGCTCAGCCAGGGAAGCTGCAAAGGCCATGGTGCCGTGAAGGTGTCTATAGGAAGAGACTCTTCAATCAGCGTGATCCTTCAGGAGCAAGGACAGGTGGGAAGCTGAGGTTGGCTCAGAGCTCCCTCCCTGTGGAAGTCAGTAGGAGCTTCCACACAGAATCCCAGTGTCCAGATGATGTTGTCTTCCTGTCACCTTTTCCTTCTGTATTTAATGTCAGTTGCCCCAAGTGAAAATCAGCTGTGGACTCTGGTAAAAAACCAAGCACTATCCAAATCATATAGTTTCTGTGGACAACAAGATATGGCCATTTAAATGTTCAAGCACCATTAATCCTTCTATCCCTGTATGAAGAGTATGTCAGGTAGACCAAGCCATTTAATCATGACAATATCTTAGGAGGAGTTAGAAGTAAAGACTATCTATTTTTAACTTTAAGGGAATTAGTCAACCTAGGCGAATTTATCATTGATCTCAATCATCATTAAAAATAGTTCCCTACCGGTTTGGTTCAGTGGATACAGCGTCAGCCTGTGGACTGCAGGGTCCCAGGTTCGATTCCGATTAAGGGCACATGCCTGGGTTGTGGGCTTGGTTCCCGGTAGAGGGTGTGCAGGAGGTAGCCGACAAGTAATTCTCTCTCATCATTGATATTTCTATCTCTCTCTCCCTCTCCCTTCCTCCCTGAAAACAATAAAAATACATGTTTTAAAAAGTGATGTGTGCCGGGTATCTCAATTGTTTGCGTCATGGTCCAGCTGTATCAAGGTTTCAGGTTCAGTCCATGGTTAGGGCCCATTCAATAATCAAGCAATGAATGCAAAAATAATTGGAACAAATAAATCTCTGTCTCTGTCTTTCTCTCTTTCCCCTGTTCCTCTCAGGAAAAAAAAAAAATATATATATGGCTGGTGTGGCTCAGTTGGTTGGAGTGTTGTCCCATGCACCACAAGGTCATGGGTTCCATCCCTGGTTGAGGTACTAAGAGAGGTAACTAATCAAGGTATCTCTTTCACTGATATTTCCATGGCTCTTTTTCTATCTTTCTCCCTCTCTAAAAATAATAAAAAAATAACAATCAGATATCATAGAACTGTTGAAGGGACTATATACTATTATTTGTGAAGAAGATTTATAAGTAAAATGAACCTAACAGAGTTCCAAATTACGTATTTACAAGAAATATAAGGGATGGAGAAAGATGTGAAGGATGAACTGGTCAATTTTACATGCCAACTTCATTCGGCCACTAGATGCCCAGATAGCAGGCAAAACACTTGTTCTGGGTATAACTATGAGATTTCTGGGGGAGATTAGAATTTGAGTCAATGGATGAGCAAAGCAGATGGCCCAATCCAATGTCAGTGGGGATCATCCACTCCACTGAGGGCCTGAATAGAACAAAAGCCGGGGGAGGCTGAATTCACTCTCTGCTGGATGAATAAACCAGCACACCCACCTCCTGTCCTGGGTGCTGCTGGTTCTCAGCCCCTCAGACCCGCACTGGAATCTGTACCATCTGCTCTCAGACTTTCAGGCCTTCTGACAACACCACCTTCTTTCCTGGGTCTCCTGCTTGCAGACTGCAGACCATGGTATCTGTCCTGTGTTGTTGAAACAAAATAAAACTTTCTTCTTGGCTTACATGTTTAACAGGATCACCTTTGCTTACCAAACATTTCTTCCTCTCACCTTCCAGTGAATTGCCTCCCACAACCTCAGAAGCTCCAGACCCCTAACCTTTCCTCACCTCAAGATGGTATAGAAGTCTCACTTCTCAAATCTTTGTGAAATTCCTGCATATAAAAGAATGCAATTAAAAATATTTTGTCTCTTGTTAATCTGTTGTATGTAGGCAGTTAGATAAGAGCACAGAAAGATCAAGGGCCAGGTACAGGTCACCAGGGCGGAAAGCCCCAGGCCCACAACAAGGTACAATCAATTGTAGGGTGGGACCCTTCCCTCAGGCTGACTTTTCCTTACCTTGCGTAATGCTGATTAAGCAGTTTGGACCCACTGACCTTTCCTCCCTATAGATAACACTTAAATCCTTTAGGACAGAGGACCCTCCTGAGAGCACCCCTTGCTCTTTCCCCTCCCCCTCCCTGCCCGAGGCATGTGACCTTTAGCTTCCTCACTCCCAAGCTCCAAGGGCCCTTCCTTTACCTCCACAATTGGTTTCCTAAGCCCATTTGTTGTAGGAATTACTTCTTGTATCTCTGTGATTTACCAAATAAATGTCCTCTTACAGTCTGGGGTCTTGGCTCTGAATTCTTTCCAACCAGAACCCAAGTACCGAGGTTGCTGAACCCAGGTTGGGACGGACCCCACCAGTCAGACCCCTGGTGCTGTTCACACAGCCCACAACAAATCTATTTTATGTCAATTTAATTCTTAGACCAGCCACAGAACCTACAATGGTAGAAGGGAATTTTTTTTTTCTCTCCTACAATCCTAAATTCTTGGAATTGGGTATATAAGAATAATAATATCACTATAATTTTTTTTTTACTTATGAGGAGATAGATGTTAAGGAAAGCCCCAGGCTTAAAACACAGTATTTATGATGGCTCCAAATTCACATTTACCAAATTCAGTTTGCTTTTTTTCATCCTTACTCTTCTACAGTATGTTGTATAAGGAAATACAATGGTCCTCTAACATCTTAGGTAAATATATATATATCCTATCTAATAAAAGAAACATTCAAATTGACCATAATCCTGACACCCTTCCCATTGGCTAATCAGCATATCCTTATACAAATTAACTGCCAACCAAGATGGCGGCCGGCAGCCAGGCACTGAAGCGAACAGGAGGCTTGCTTGCTCCAGTGATGGAGGAAGCCAAGGTTCCCCGACTGCCGCTGCCGGCCTCTGAGCTTACACTCTAAGAAACAATATTGCAAGTATAGAAGCTAAACAAACTCCATGAACCTGCTTTCAGTCAGCCGGGCTTCAGCCAGCAGGACCGCAACAGTGTTTCAATTATAGAATCCAAACAAACCCAGTACCTGCTTTCAGCAGCCGAGGTCTCAGAGCTGCAGCCGAGCCTCAGAGCTAAAGCCGGCTCTTAGCTCCAGTGACAGCCATAGAAGGTAAATAAATCCCAGAATAAAAGAAAAAAGAAAAAAAGGAGAGGTTGGGAGCTTCAGTCACCCGCCAGCCTGAAAATGGCCCTCAGCCCCTCAGCCAGACTGGCCAGGCACCCCAGTGGGGACCCCTACCCTGAAGTAACAAGATGGTGGGTAATTTACTTACTGAAGGCGGGCGGCAGTGGGCAAGGCTGTCCGCGGTCCTGGGACCCAATCTGTGACCCTGCTGGGCGGGGGGCAGCGCTTGAGTCTGTCGGCAGTCTGGAACCCGGACCCATGTCCTGGCGAGTGGGGCGGCAGCGCTTGAGGCTGTCCACGGTCTGGGACCCAGATCTGTGACATGGGGGTAGGGAACAGCGCTTGACGCTTTCCATGGTCCCAGGACCCGGATCTGTGACCCTGCCTGGCAGGGGGCAGTGCTTGAGGCTGTCCAAGGTCCCGGGACCCAGATCCGTGACCCTTACCGGCGGGGCAGCAGCTCGCACAGGGGTGGATCGGCCGGGGTTGGGCAGGGCAGGATGCCTGGCTTCCGCCCAGCCCCAGTCACTCTGGGCAGGTGAGCAGCGCAGAGAGCCTCTGGACAGGGGAGGCAGGCCAACGGAGGGCGGCCTGTACTCCCCACATGGCGGTGGCGGCAGCTGTGAGTGCGCCAAGCGGAGCCTGCAGGCTGAGCTGAAGTATGCCTGCAGGCCATCAGCGCCCAGGAGTGGCTGTGCAAGATCCGCCTCCTGGCCCAGAAGGTGCAGGATCGCAGGGACAGCCACCGTGGCGGGCCAGACAGACGTCCTCCTGGCCGCACCACGGGGGTTTGCGGATCTGCAAAGCCAGAGGCCTCTGTGTGCACATCCCCCCCTGTTGTGCGAACATCCCCCAGCACACTGTCACCCTCCCACGCCTGCAACAGTTGCAAACCAAGGCATGCACAAGTTCCCCCTGCCTCTCCACCGCACTTCCATCAATCCGGCATGCCTAACACCCCCACAGAATGTGCACACATCCCCCCTGATGCGCTCATGTCCTTTGGAGAGTGTCTGGGTATTCTGGGTGCTGAGGATGAGCGCCTGTGAGATGACAGTGAGAGGGCGGAGTGGTGATGCCCTGTTCCCACGGAGGCCAGTGCAGCTACAAGATCACCTCTGGGGGCTAATGCAGGTGCTGAGGTGGGATCAGGTGCAGACAGACACACCTGGTGGGCTCGGGCGGCCCTCGCTGAGGTGCCTTCGGTCAGCGTTCAAGATCAAGAACCCAGAGGCGGAGAGGAATTCCATCCTCTCAGTGAAACAGTGGGATAGTCGGGGCGACTGTAAAGGGGGAATGTGCACTTTGGGTGCCAGCACCCATGAGCAAAGGCTGCCCTGACTGAGCCTCGCTTGCTTGGGGCCTAGCCCACTCCTGCCGGGCAGCGGGTGACAGGACGTGCTTTTCCGAATTAATGAGAGAAAATGATTCTCCTGCTGCCCACGAAGGTGGAAAGTGAAGTGGGGAGACATGTGGGGAGTGAGTGAGGTTCCTGTCTGGGGGTTCCAAATCGGCTGTTGGTTTCTTTCACTGCTGACTAGAGATATACAAGGTGTCCCCCAAAAATGTATACACACTTTGAATACCTACTAATTCCAATGGTTTTAAGCATAAGAAAGAAACCACAATGGAGCTGTTACCTGTTACAAGTGTGGGCACAAACAGGCAGTTGGACATTCCCTGAGGGGTCTCAGATTGGAGAGGGTGAAGGCCAAACTGAGGGGCCCCTTTCCCCACCCCCCCTCACCCCAGTGCACGAATTTCGTGCACCGGGCTACTAGTATATTAATAAAAGCCTAGGTGGTTCTCGCACCCTCACGTGACACCCTCACGTAATCACAAGATGGCCGCCACAAGATGGCCAGCAGGGGAGAGCAGTTGTGGGCAATCAAGCCTGCAGGGGAGTGGTTAGGGGGTG